AGTGTCAAGTGTCGCTAAAAAGGCATTACATGTGGGTGTGCGCCCTCCCTCTCTCACTCTCTCTCTCTCTCTCTCTCTCTCTCTCTCTCTCTCCCTCTATCTCTCTCTCTCTGTCTCTCTCTCTCTACCTCTATCTCTCTCGCTCTCTCTGTCTCTATCTCTCTCTCTCTCTCTCTCTCTCTCTATCTCTCTCTCTTTACCTCTATCTCTCTCTCTCTACCTCTATCTCTCTCTCTGTCTCTCTCTTCTCTCTCCCTCTCTCTCTTCTCTCTCTCTCTCTCTCTCTCTTTCCTTCTCCCTCCCTATGTCATCCAACTCTTTCGTTATCTCACCCTCACTTCCGTCCTATCTCTCTCTAACTGTTGCAATACATCTCCAAGACACCCTCAAGCGAGGCACACCCCGGCACACCCGCCCTCTGCCTAGTTCTACAGGGTATTAATGGTTGGCGATTAGGGCTTCGATAAAAAGTTGTGCATTCAATTAGCTCCATTCGACGCTTTTCTCTGATCGAAGCGCACATGAATTATGACCAGGAATTTCAATAACACGCCCAGCTGAACTATTTCCCAGACTTTTGGCTTGATTTATGATTGTTATTGCTGTTGTGCGTTTGCTTGGAATACTTTCCGCAGCTGCTTCACTGCTGTCCGCCATGGACCTAACGGCGGATCCGTGCGATGATTTCTTTCAATTTGCATGCGGCACCTGGAACAAGATGCATCCCATACCAGAGGATCGCAGCTCGATCAGCACCTTTGAGGTGAGTTCCGCTCGGCAGTGCAGGATGTAATTGAACTCTAATCGAGATTGAACGACACACACACACACACACACAGGTGCTCTCCGACCAGCAGCAGCTGGTGCTGCGTGGCGTTCTGGAGGAACCAGTCGATGAGCACGACAATGCGGCCACGGTCAAGGCGAAGGCATTCTTCAAGAGCTGCATGGATCTGCGTGAGTAGATATATGTACATATAAATACATATATATATACATATACATATATACCTTCCCTATAGCTGAGGGAATCCTTAAACATTTTCAAATCCAATTTTACTGACTGAGCGTGTGTCCTTAAAAACCTATAAATATCGATAATTAAGCTACATTTGATGCATGAATCAGAAATAAATGTATTTTTATGTTATCGATAACTTTCTAGTTCACTTTATCGATAAAAAACAGTAATAATGTTAGCAGTTAGTATAACTTGAATATAATTATTGACTAATCGAATATAATTATTGACTAGCCGAAAACTAATTTGTTATATTATCGATAACATCTAGATTTCCTTGTCATGCATATTTATCGATAAGCATCTCAAGTATATTGCGATGCAAACTGTATCATAAAAATGTGAGATCATGTTCAATTCACCACTTTAACAATCTTATAAATTATCGATAACTTTCAATGGATCTCTATCGATACATTTTTATGAATATCTCAAGTAATTAGTGCATTTCTTGTGGAATATAAATTTTTCTATATATGAATGATGTATATTCATATACATCTATACTTTCCAAAACTTATCGATATCGATAAGTTTTTGTTATACCATCAAGCTATCCACACATATATATGTATATATTTATGTGCAAAAATTGAACTGTTTATCATATTGAAGCTGATCTAAAAATAATCGATACCGATAACTGTCCAACTTATTCGTGATCGATAGCTCATTCGTCGCGCTTTGACCTACTAATGGTCAATCATGGTGAATTCAAGATATCGCCATCAGCTCAAGTAGCAGATTTGATAACATCAAACTGCCATCACGCTGTTATCGATCATTGGCTTAGCTGTTATCGATAATGAGCTTAGCTCACAATATAAATATAGGCTAAACGAGTTACGCCATAGATCATAGATGACTGTTAGGAGTGCCATAGAATGCATTTTCCAGGGTATCTAATCGCTATACCTATTCGTACTTCCAGCTCAGATACGCAAGGTTGGCGTCGGCCGCCTCAAGAGGGTGTTGCGCTCCCTGGGCGGCTGGCCCGTGATCGAGCGCGACTGGCAGCCGCCGGCGAACTTGAGCGTGGAGCAGGTGATGGGCCAGCTGCGATTCAACTATAGCGAATCGGTGATGATCGAGCTGTACGTGGGCGCCGACGATAAGAACAGCTCCGTGAACATTATCCAGATGGATCAGCTGCAGTACGCGCTGCCCTCGCGCGACTACTATCTGAAGCCGAACAGCGAGAACGATCGCCAGGCGTACCACAAGTACATGACCCAGATCTCGTTGCTCCTGGGCGCCGATCCGGCCACGGCGGCCGACGAGCTGCGCCAGGTGATTCAGTTCGAGACGGAGCTGGTGAATGTGTCGCTGGCGGAGGCGGATCGGCACGACACGAGCGCCGTTTACCGTAAGCTGACGCTGCCGGAGCTGCAGGAGCGAGTGCCGGAGCTAAACTGGACGGAGTATCTGCAGACGGCCGTCGGTCCGGGCATTCAGCTGGACGCCAATGAGCCGCTGGTGACCTACGGCCTGGTCTACCTGACCGAAATGGGTCGCATATTGCGCGAGACGGAGCTGCGCGTCGTCCACAACTATATGCTCTGGCGCCTGGTCATGTCCCTGATGACGCACATGATCGACGAGTATCAGCGGGAGCGCGTGGAGTTCCGCAAGATCCTGCTGGGCATACAGTCGGAGCGGACGCGCTGGTCCCAGTGCGTCGAGTGGACCAACAAGAAGCTGGGCGTGGCCGTGGGCGCTCTATTCATACGGGACAATTTCAATCAGGACAGCAAAGAGGTCGCCCTCGAGATGATACACAACATCCGGGCGGCATTCAATGAGCTGCTCGCCGAGAACCACTGGATGGACGACGAGACGCGCGCCGTGGCCAAAGAGAAGGCGGACTCGATGAACGAACGCATCGGCTATCCGGAGGTGCTCACCAATGTCACGGAACTGGAGCAGGAGTATGTGAACGTAGGTATTTGCATCAATTTCAGCTGTGCTCCTAACTCAACTCTCCCATTGTTGCTGACAATCCCAGCTGACGATCGTGCCGGACAATTTCCTGGACAACGTGTTCAGCATTCTGCAGTGGGAATCGGAGAAGCTGCTCAATTTGCTGCGCCAGCCGGTGGACAAGGAGAAGTGGACCACAGAGCCCGCCGTGGTCAATGCCTTCTACAATCCTAACAAGAATGATATAGGTGCGACTGATGATCCTCAACTCAAATGATCTCAACTGATCTCAACTGATCTCAACTGATCTCTGTCTCTTTTAGTATTTCCGGCTGGGATTTTGCAGCCGCTGTTCTATAGCCAGCATTTTCCAAAGTCCTTGAACTATGGCGGCATCGGCGTGGTGATCGGCCACGAGATCACCCACGGCTTCGATGACAAGGGTCGGCAGTTCGACAAGGAGGGCAACATGATGCAGTGGTGGAACAATGCCACAATCGAGGCATTCCGTGAGCGCACCCAATGCGTCATCGATCAGTATTCGCGCTACAAGATCAACGAGGTGGACATGTTCATGGACGGGCGCATGACCCAGGGCGAGAATATCGCCGACAATGGCGGCCTCAAGCAGTCATTTCGAGTGAGTCGCACGATCCACTCGAAGCGATCTTGATTTACATTCCGATTATTGCTTTGCAGGCCTACAAGAAGTGGGAGAGGCTGAATGGACGCGAACAGCAGCTGCCGGCGCTCAATATGACGCACGATCAGCTCTTTTTTCTCAACTATGCACAGATCTGGTGCGGCAGCATGCGGCCGGAGGATGCGTTAACCAAGATCCGTTCCTCGGTGCATTCGCCCGGCTTTGTGCGCGTCCTTGGGCCGCTCTCGAATTCACGGGACTTTGCGAACGCCTACAACTGTGCCGTGGGCACCACCATGAATCCGGCGAAGAAGTGCAGCGTCTGGTAGTCATGAGTACACAATCCCAAGGACACGATCATCAGCATGTTCCTGACGACAACGGATCGCGAGCGAATCACATCATGATCATCATCACAAACAGCGTTTGGTCAGCGATTGGGAATGGGATCTGAATCGTGATGGGATCCACTTGGACTTTTGCGAGTGGATCGTGATTTCAGTTATATACGTCATCATGGCTAAGATCTCGCTAAGAGCCTTGATCAAAATATGTTCAAGTAATGAAAGTCTTATGATCATGATTTGGCACAATCGCAATCTGAAGATCTGAGAATCGAAATCCTGCTCATGATTGCGATCGTTTCCCTTGGGAATGATCAATATGATCACGTTCATGATCCTGTTCCCAGCTGCGATCACAACGCTTTCATCATTGCGAAACATTCTTGGTTATAGAAGGTTGACCAGGTTCATTCGATCATCAATTGAGTATTACATCTTGCCAATGATCCATTTCTACGGCAAAGTTACGAGCCCGAGCCTGAACCATTGCCATGGTCATGGTCACAGTCATGATCAAGCTCCCATTCACGATCATCAACTGCGCTCGAGGTCAAAGTCAGGAACATGCTCATGAGAGTGCACCCGATTACGCTCATGTTTTGTATAAGCTTATTTTTATATATACATACATATATATATATATAAAAGCACTAACATATATATACATATACATATATCTATATGTTGTATTGCGGGGCGTCTATTTGTTTTCCCATCGATATTATTATTTCTTGTGTGATCTTAACTTTCTGTTTTTTTTTTTATCATAACTATAACTCTTACTACTATAAACAGCGCGATAGTACGAACATAGTATATATAAATATATATATAGATATACATATATATATATGTGAGTGTACTATATAACTAATGTATTTCTATTGTAATATATGAATGTCATATCAAATGAAAAAAACAAAAAAAAAAAAAGAGAAATGCGCAACAACATTGTAACGCCCCCAAGCCCGAGTCTCCCGTACTCCCCATAGTACCCAGTAATTAGTTATCGGTAGTGACCGACAAAAGAAAAAATGATAAAGCGGCATTATTAATATACTTAATAAAGACAAAAAATATATACGAAAAAAATGTAAAAAAGTTTTACTTTTATTAAAAATCTGGTGGAATATGTGATGTGAGTAGCGCTATGTAGGGATATACTTGCAATTCCTGGCAAACTACTTCGATCTATGGAAAGATAGTTGGAGTATTTGTAGATCTGTAGAGTAGAGGGTGTTATGCATGTAGCTATTATGGTATAGAATACTTAGAAGCAAAGATTCTACAGGTGGAATACATGAGTATGATATCTTTAAAGAAAGACATACAGTAGAGTCTCCATAATTTGTACCACACCAAATGGAAAATTGGTATAAATCGAAAAGATTCTATGCGATTCGCTATGGATCATTCTCGATAATTTGAATTTCTGTGTAAATCGATAAAAATAACGGATCGGGACTCAACTGTATATATACGATATATGCATATATATATTCACTTAACTTCAATTTCAAACCCTTTCTAAAATGTGCTACCAACTTGACTAGCCCATCAGCAATCACTAGTACCAATCACATTGACGATATGTTTGTGCGACTTTATTTTTGAATAATTTATATCGATGTGAGGCATTAAAATGCCTCCATTGGTGCTATGTACACATAATTTATATAGTCTTAAGGCATAAATGTATATAATATATAATATATATATAATGTATATATATATATATATACATCCTGTATATGTGGTACATGTATAGTTCGTAAAATTTCGTTGCTAAAGCTATATAGTTATAGGACAACTCTAGTGCCTATGTTGTGTATATATAGTATATATATGTATATGTATATGTATAGGTATGTACTGTTATATATGTATATATAAAAGAAAAACATCTAGCAAAACACAGTCCGTTGTTAAGAGCGATATCTGTCCGTCTGTCCGTTTGTCTGGTTGCTGTTTCCACTCCACAATTGATGGAGTGGACGAAACCATAGTTGTTAGCCATTTGGTTAACCTGGCTAAGGATCAATTGGAGCTACATTTGATATAAGATGGAACCTGCCATCGAATAGACTGAAAGTCATATCGAATGGAACGAAAGTCCTGGATGTCCTGGATACTGGAAGCACCATATGGAAACTCAGATAAATATCTTTGGAAGCATATACTCGACTCAAAGAGCTTAGATAGCGTTGAACTTCAACTCTTGAGAGTCAAACGTTTGGCTGGAAATGCACACAGTCAATGCAGCGACTGGAAGGCATTGGAAGAGCTCAAGAGAGTCATTTGAAGTGCCAAAAACTACTGAGTGGAAATGGGAATTGATTGGAAAGTGACTTGAAGATACTGGAAGCCATTGGAAGTGGCCAAATTACGGCTGAAATTGATTAGAGCCAATAAGTTTTCGTTGAAAGTGAAGGGAAAGTGCATAAATTGCAGCTGGAAGTGATTGGAAGTCGCTGGAAGAGTGTGGATAATTTCGAGCTGCTGGAAGAGGAACAGAAAACCTGGAAGTGGATCTAACAAATGAGTTTCGGACATTGTAAGCCATTGGAAAGGGACTGGAAGAGCTTGGTTAACATTGAGCTGGAAGCCGGGAAGTGAGCAAGGAGTTTCCAATGAGTGAGTAGAACTGAGAGTTCGCTCAGGGATACCTTAGAAAGCGAGTCTGCGGACTGGATGGGTAAATACTGTGCCGTCATCGTCATCCTCTGTCGGGGAACTTAAGAAATTATTCCGCACGGAATTATCACACATGCTTATGCCCTAACTAATTTAAAACGATTCGACTTTGTGCAGCTGTGGGGCGCGCGTAGCCGTCGCTAGATGCGCAAAGGTCGAGTGGCTCGTGAGGTCCGTGCTCCTGCTCGTGTCTGGGTCAGGGACCATTCCTGCTCATCGGCGCTGGCGAAGATCAGGTAAATGAAATTGCCGGCAATATTGAGGCCAGCTGCCAGCCAGAAGACAATGTGCCACTGGGTGAGCGTCTCCCGATGGTTGATTATCAATCCGATGACATACGGCGCGAGGAATCCGCAAATGTTCGCCGCGGAGTTGGTGATGCCGTACATGGTGCCCGCATAGCGGGGACTGAGCGCAATGTGATTCATCTGGTTGCCCGCGTAGACGGCGCCGCCGAACGAGCCCACGCCGGCCAGCATGAAGGTGACCCAGACCCAGTCGCAGCCCACGTAGATGATGCCAATCAGGCCCAGCGAGGGCACCACCGAGGCGATGCTGTTCCACAGCTTGTACGAGTTCAGCAGGGAGATGTAGCGGCGGGCGAGCATCCAGTCCGCCAGGGCGGAGCAGGCGATGCCCACGAACCAGGCGGTCAGATAGGGCACGGCATTGAGCAGGGCATTCGACTGGATGTCAAAGTGGAGGATGTTGCTCATGTAGGTGGGCAGCTCCGTCAGCTGCGTGTAGAAGGCCCAGCTCTGGCCGCACTGCGTCAGCAGAATGGCCCACAGTGGAACGCTGCCGAGCAGCGAGCGCCAGGGTATCGCATCCTCCTCAATGGCAACCGGCTCTGGCTCATCGTGCTCATCCTCGTCCGGCACCAGCTGCTGCTGGTGGTGGTGCTGCTGCTGCGCCTGCTGTGCGTGCTGCAGCGAGCGTTCGATGTAGGCGCGCTCCTTGCGCGAGATGCGCGGATGCTCGCTGGGCCGGTCGTACACCAGGTACATCCAGCAGACGAACCACACCAGGCCCAGCAGCCCGAAGATGTAGAACGCCGACGGCCAGCCGCCCAGGAACCTCTGCGAGCAGAGCCAGCCGGTCAGCGGCATGGAGATGACGGTGCCAATGTTGGAGCCGGCATAGACGACGGCGGCGAACTTGTTGCGCTCCAGCGGCGGTATCCAGTGGGCGAGCATCGCGTGCATGGCGGGATAGGTGACGCCCTCGCCCATGCCCTCCAGGACGCGCACCAGCACCAGCAGCGGCAGGTTCCAGTGGGCAGCCAGCGGGGTCAACAGCGTGAATATCGCCGTGATGAGCACGCCGTAGCCGTAGATGCGTTTGCCGCCGACCAGCTCGGCCATGCGGCCACCGGGCACCTGGGTCAGCACATAGCCGTAGAAGAAGCTGCCCAGCACCAGGCCCTGCGTCGCCTCATCCCACACGAACTCGCCCTCGGCGGGCGTGGACAGGGACTGCCAGAAGGAGCCATTCGGCGTCGGAGCCGGCGGCATCGGGCACGTATCGTTGGCCAACACGGAGCTATTGCTGTGCGGAATGGCCGTTTGGTTGACCATGGCCACAATGGCCACCGATAGATTCACGCGCATGGCATAGACAACAGCGAAGCCCAGGAAGCCCATCAGCCCGAAGATGTGACGCGACTGCAGCAGGCCGCTGCTGTGATCCGTCTGGGCAGCTAGAAAGGCACAAAATGATGAATCGGAGTCCAATATGACTGGGCTATGGCTATGCCAATTGGATTTACCTCGTATCAGCGGACGATCGCCGTCGGCATCGACATCGGCATCGGCATCGCAGAGCGCTTGACGCTCGTCATCCACTTCGGTGTCATCGTCATCCGCATCGGAGGCGCCACCAGCTGCTGCTGTTGCCACATTGTCATAGTAGCAGGTGGCGTCACGCGTTTCGTCTGTCCAGCGATGCGGCGGCATTTCTGCTTCAGCTTCTAATGTTGTTGTTGTTCTTGTCGCAGTTGTTGTTGTTGAGTTTTCCAAAAACTAATTCCAATAATAATAATCGCCTTGAAATGTTTGGTGTTTTTCTTTGACGCGCTGCTGTTATTTATTCTTGTGCAATTGCCAGCACATTTTCTCTTTTCCGTTTTTCTTTTCCAACGGCAGCAGCAGCAGAAGCAGCAGCTCCAACACCAGCACCAGCAACAACAACAATTAAACACATACAGCCAGGGCCAAAGACAACTCACCAACAGCTGCGGCTGGCAGCGACTGAACCGTTTGGCCACCAGCAGCAGCAGCAGCAGCAGCAGCAACAGCAGCAAAGCCAAAGCAAAGCAAAAGCAACAACTAAATCTAAACACAATAAAAACGATATATAACTGCTTTTGTTGTTGTCACACTCTCTTGCTAGCGCGCGCGCGCGCTCTCTTCTCTCTTACTCTTCGTCTCTCCCGTTCTTCCCTGCAGCTTTGGCTTAGGAAAGTAGAGCAGCAACAACTCCAAGAAGTGAATGGTTACTCACACTCACACACTCTACGCTCTCATGCTCACTGGCGCTCGCTCTCTTTGGCTCTCTCTCAGCAACTAATACTTTGCCATTGTTTACATTTAGTTTTACTTCCCACACACACGTACACACGCTCAGCGATGTGTAAGTGTGCGCATATCTATGTGACTGTTAGTGCGCAATACGAAATGCATACATATGCATATTCATTAAAAGGGGCAGCCAATCGGGAAAAGTTCCGTTGTAAGCTTAACGAACATTGAATACGCTTTGCTCAATGTAATGCCATACGCCTTACAAATGACTACGCTAAAGTTTATTTGCGTTAAATGTATTATTATAATCATTTTTTATTATCTTAGATTATAAGGAATTCTTTGTTTAGTCATATTAATATATCAAGGTAAATATACAATATATATGATAATACATTCATAGATAAAAATAAAGTTATCTTATCTTCGAGTCGCAGTTATGATATCGTCTGCTGTTCTGACTTTGGCACATCGCATCTTTGACATTCAAATGTATAAAAATCTTTGCTGAAAACTGGTTCTCAGCGAGTTCTTGCTTAAAATGTGAAATTTGCCCTCGTCGAAAGAAATACAATGAAATGCATATGTATATACATATATGTGTGTATATAACAGGGTATTCGAGTTGCCAAGTTTAATGAGAAAACACTTGACCCAGCTGCTGGCTTTCATTTAGCATTATTCGAACTATTAGCATTTGAATAATTGTTATATTTTAGTGAGTCATCTAATTAGATAGAAACTGTTAATCGGGCAAAGCTCCGATGAAACGCTTGAGGCATGCCAAATATATATAAATTTTTATATATTTTGGCAGATGGCAACGACCTAGTTGAGCAAACAAATACACACCCCCTGAACCGAAAAGAGTGTGAGTCGATGCCCATTGAAAATGTGGCCAAATAAGTGGGGTCGATTTGTTTCTAAGCACGTTAAAGTGTTGTAGAGCATACACACACATCATTGATAGGTCTTAGAAGTTAAGTGGGGTATATAAGTTATATGGATGTGCTGCTAACAGGTTATCTGCCAGTCGGCATGTTCAGCTGTTCATTGTTAGAAAATACAAATAAATATGCATTAAAATATGCCTACAGGGTATTTGCTAGTCGGCATGTTCAGCTGTTCTTTGTTTTTTGCATTTTATTTACATTAAAATATGCCTACAGGGTATTGGCAGGTCACTTATTCTCAAAACGAACAGGTCGATATATTTATATATCGATATTTGCTGATCCACCAATTACAGAGTATGTGCTAGTCGAGCATACCTGAACAGAGATAATCTGCTTGTGCGCATGCAGGGTATCTGCTAGTCAGTCATCGACGCACGCGCCAGCAATAACAGCTCAACTGTTGCTTATCTAATAAGAAGAAACTAATCTGATAAGAAACAAATTTAGCAAATGAAATACAATTGTATTTAAAAAAACAAAAAAAAAAAACAGAAATTGGAATGTGTATGTGTATACACAATATGTACACAAATGTATATACATATATACTGGACTATATATGTATATATACTGGAGTATTTCTATGGCATTTCAATTGGCAAAGATCGCGCCCACCGCAAAGACAATGATCTTGCGCTGATGATTGAGGATGAGGCGCTCGTAGTGGTAGCCCTTCTCGATCCTGACATCGTTGGTGAAGCTATCGCCCTTGGGCAGAATGGGCGTCAGGTCGACGTTGAAGCAGTTGATCATGAAGATGTCGTTCTTGAGCAGGGCGCAAATCTCGTAGGCGCTGGCCACCTTCTCGTTCCAGATGCTGACAAAGCCGTATTTGATCGTCTCCTTCTTGAGCACCAGCGTGGCGTCCCTGGGCGTGCGGAAGGTGTGCATGATGATGATGCCAGTGGGCTCGTCGCCCAGGAAATTGTCGGACAGATCGCACACCAGTGTGGGCGAGGCATGCGCCGGCACCACCTTCGGATCGCCGACAATCGTCTCGGCCTTGCACTGCGCCAGCTTGGCCTTGGAGCGCACGTAGTTGGGATGATTGTAGATCTTCGGGTCGAGCGGCTTCATGCTCTGGATCAGCAGCTCAATGAACACATCGCGCACGCTCTCCTGGATGAGCACCGTGGCCACGGCATGCTTGCCGAACGGATCGTGCAGCGAGCTCAACAGATGATGACGGGCGCTGTTCAGATCTCCTCCTTCGAACACGATCAGCATGCTGGGCGACTGCCATTGGTATTTCGGCGGCTGCGGCTCGCCGCCGTCCGTCGTAGTCTCGCCGGCTAGCACGGGCAGCTAGATAAGGTTGTTAGAGATACACATGTATATTTATGCTCTTGAATAAGATTTAATTTTGGCTTACGGATATCTCGCGCTTCGGCTTGCACTCCAGCTTGTGCACCATGTTGTAGCTAATGAAGGTTTTTGCGGAAATCGGCTTCCTTTCCAAACTGATACGCTGATCTCCTTCTTCAGGGTTCGGCATGGCGCTGTCGACTGTCACAATGGGACCACAATTCACAGCGAACGTTATCAGCAGTCGCACCTACTCTCTATCTCTGTCACTCCTTCAGTGTGTTCGGCTAGATAACCGTGTATATGGCGCTGCCAGATCGTGGGATTTGGAAAATTTTAAAAAACCTGCTCAAATTAACGTGTTGTGTTTGTGTGTAAATATCCCAGACTAAAACTGACATTTTACAGCACTACAAAAATGAATTCAAATTTGAATTTACTGGCGCTGCAATATATCATACGATAGTTTCACTAATTTTATAGATGATTCAAATGAATTACTGATTTGGTCAGCTAATAAAGTTATGAAAAATTCAGTTTTGGCTCTGCCCTCACATTAGATGCTTTGAAAATAAATAAAATACAATAGCTGAAAACATCGATATTGTTGGCCAGCAGCACAGCCAACTATCGATACATTGCACTACTGCCGCCCTGGCATGTGCGCTCGTTGTGCAGCACTGATTTTGATTACGCCACCGCAACGCTGACGCCGACGTCGACGTCGCTGGGGGTCCGTTCGTGTTGAGCTGTTTTTTTTTTTATTATTATTTGTACACACACACACACATGTGTATATATTTATTTTTTTCACACATCTGTTGGTCGATTGGCGCTGCCCCATGCACAGTTCACATTCAGCTGCAAACTGAATAAGGTCGAGCGCTCTATTCGTGTGCCACAAAAATAAATAAATAAATTTTTTTTTATTGTTATTCTTAAAATAGTGAAATAAAGTTAATCAACCAGTAAACGAAGCTGCATAAACAAAAAATTTTTTTTTCGTGTGGTATTCCCTATCATTGCATTCGTTGACACTTGTGGCGCACTGTGTGCATTGTTGTTGTTGTCGTTGTCTTGGTCGTTGTTATTGATGGCATTTTGGAAATTCTCCTAGTTGAATTTGATTAAGCGCTGCACTTGTGTGTTATTGTTGTTGCTATTGTTATTTTTTTTTTTTTGGTGCTTACGCCCTACGATAAAAGCGACTGCAATCGTTAAAAATAATTGTGCAAAAAATACAGCAACAACAAAAACGAACCGAACCGAGATTGAAGACCAACAAGTGCGCGGCTACAATTGCATACTGTCCATGTGTGCGTGTGCGTGTGTGTGAGAGCGTGCGTTCGTGTATTTATAGCAGCAGCGTGTTTGCGTGTTTGTGCGTGTTGAATTCTTTTTGGCAAAGTGCGTTCAACCAATCAAAAGAGAAATAGAATTTGACAACAACAGCAACGAGTGAAAAGTGGAACAGTACTAAAATAACGGAACAGCTGGCAAACAGGCGAACAGCGCAGTCAATAGTGACAGTGTCGTCAGCGACAGCGACATCAGCAGCGACAGCGATACAACGGTTGTTGTCTACTCCTACTTCTATTCCTTTTTACTCTTGCTTGGCAACAGGTGTCGACGGCTGCGCAGCTGCATTTGTTGAAGCGTCAAAATGACCGATTTAAATGAACTCATGAGCTCCCAATTTGTGCGCGTCAAGGTAAATATGAGTGGGGGGGGACCACGGTGTGGGCGTGTGGACGTTCTGGGGGCGTGACAGCCATTGAAGCCAGTCAACAGCAGAGCGGCGGCAGCGGCAGTGGCAGCGGCAGAATGTTCTCACTTAGTGGGCTGCGCCGGTCCAGTGTTAGATAACGCTGCGCTCAGTCGCTGCCCCCCGCCGCTGCAGCCGCTGCGCTGCCTATTAGCACAGAGTGCAGTAAGCAGCGAGCAGCGAGCAGCGGGCAGCGGCCGGAGTGCAGCGACGCAACCGCAGATGCTATTCGATATGTTGTCGGCTTTTGTGGCAGACAATTTGCAACTTCACTGTGGGGCTTCATTTGAGCTGCTTATTTCATAGACAAGCTAACATTCTACCATCCCTCCCCCCTCTCTCTCTCTTTCTTGCAGGTCGTTGCCTTTGTGCACTTCATTTTCATATCGAATGCAATGCTCGGCACTTGGGGTCATGGCGCCTACGAGTTCTACAATTTCCTCTTCATCATCTCCATGTTCTGGGCGATACACTCCAAGGATTCCATTGAGGCGGTGCAAACGGTAAGACTCAACTAACTCTCTCTCCCTCTCTCTCTCTCGCTCTTCACTTTCGCCTTTCGTCTAGCAGCGTTGCCACCCAGTTCAATCACGACTGACGCATACAGTGCGTCTTATCAGTCTGCTGGCGTCTGCATATGCAAAGCCGCTGACTGATAACAATGGTGAAAGTATCGCCCCCACTCTCGCTCTCCCTGTCTCTCTCTCGCTCACACACACACACAGCTAACGCTCAGCTCATCAGTTGGCAATTAATTTATAATTTGCTTTTGCGTCTATTTAGTTTTGTTGTTTATTGCATTCGCTATTGACTCGCATTATATTTCGGTTTTCCTTATATGTGGGAACCGGTTCTGGCGAAATCTGAGCATTCAATTAACATAGAAACTCGACTCGTCGACGCTCGCTAAACTATAAATACATAATGCTCTCAACTTCTAGTGATATCGAGCCGCGTTGTTTACACAGACCTCCTGCAGCGGCCGGTGCTCGACTTACGACTTTTTGGAGGCACTGTAGCTCTGCTCCAAAATCTCCGATCTTTTCTCCAGCTAATCTCTTAACCTAAATGCGGTGCGGCATGAGATAAGATTGTTGCGTTGCCCATTTTAATATAATTTATCTTTAGTTCTTATATCATTGAAATTCAAGTCAAAAAGTTGCCTACATTTTATATCAAAGCCCTATAGAAGTATTCTATTGACCATTCCTTAGATTTCCATGCAAGTTCTTGAAAGTTCTATTTACTTAACGTCAATTTCCCAGTCTTTGTGTGGATATTATGAAACAATATTTATAGTAAATTATGAAATTAAATCAGCCAAAATCAAGATTGCGATTGTATATGAATTTCTATTTATTGTTATTGTATATAGTTTCCTTTTTAATGGAGAAACTGCATTTCCCAGCATTTTAGTGATTTGATATTGAAAGAAAACTCTGATTAAGCATGATTCACGTTTGCTCTCAACCTCTCCAATTGCAACGGCTCTTGTGTAACTTATGATTCAGACTATTCCCCACTAAGCTGCAGATAAGCCATTTGAGTAACGTAATCCCCTAGAGAAATGCACAAACACTTAGCAGCTCTTGCAGTTGCAGCTTATGGCGGTCTATTGAGCAAGAGTTAAGACCCGAGCGCAAATAAGACGTGGAGCTATGCTAATTATAGACGCATTTGGTCAGCCGCCCCCGGCTAAGGTAGTGCTGCTTATGGGGGCCTATATGTGCACATACTTATACAGATTTGGCTACAGTTACTGTTACTGTTAAATGCAAATCGGACAACTGGAAGAGTTGACGGCGCTCTCGCAGGCTGTTAGCGTGTCCATGCCCAAAACTCTGAGCCAATTTCAACTTTGACATTAGCCCCCGAAATGGGCAAAAGGCTCGTAATCCCGGCCTGTGGCTAGGCTGTCGTAACGCACGCGATGCCCAATGCCACGCACAGAGCTCTAAAGTGAAAAACCTAACCCGACTAGCACATACCCCTGCCAATAGACGGAACTCGGGTATTACCTAATACAGCTCAATCAAGTAGATACTTTGCTGGCATCCAAGTTTCGAAAGTTTCTAAAGCAGTTTCTGAGCTAAAATTTCAGATGAATGGGCTTTACCAAAACTATTAAGATTTTAGTGAGGCATTGCTGGCGCCTAAATACCCTTCTGCCATCATGCTACAGGGTATTTGAAAATACAATTTCATTTGCGGTCAGTCACACGAAAGGAGGCCTGGAAATGGCCTCTAGTTAGGCAGCGGATCCTTTTTCTAGGCGACTTGGCCGGGGCCATCAACCATTAGCCACGCCATTTAATCAACTATGCGGAGGGCAAACGTTGACCCCAAACCCCCATCGCACCGTCCCGCCCCCATGGCACCAAGCAGTGAAAGAAAAATATAAAAATATAATGTAACCCCCATCCAAAGTGGGTAGAAAAGGCAAGCATTACATATTTACGACTCAAATGGAGGGGGCGCTCTATGAATTGCCTGTCAATGCGAACGAAACCTTCAATTACATTTCTAATTTCTTGGAATTTCGAAGAGATTCATGTATTTCATATAAAGCTGATTACAATGAAATATATATTATATATATGAACATATAAATATTATAGAGCTGTTGAGTTTTCTCTTGTACTTTTATAATATTTATGCCAGCCCGAAAGTAGACTACGTTAAAAACTTGGATGGAAATCAAGTGTAGATTTCTATTCAATTCATAGTCTGAAATGTAAGATTCTGGTATAAGCTAGGCAAATTCTGGGTATTCCTGAAAAGCAACGAATAATGAGAAGTAAGAAGAGTAAACAGGCTAAATAGGCTATGCTAAAGGTAACAAATAGAGCTACTCATTGTGAAAGCTCGGAGCAAAGAACTAGAAACCATTAAAATTTATTATTGATGATTGAAAATTTGAATCTTACTGAATCGGAAATTGCGATAAATCGGAAAATTCGATCCCCTTGAAAGTAGTCAATTCTAGATAATTCTCGATAATTCGCATTTCTGTGTAAATAGAAAAAAAAAAAAAAAACAGATCATTTCGAACCATTTCGAACTATGGAGACTCGACTGTATTAAGAAAACTAAGTAAATGAAACGAGTAATAGGTAGCGAGTAACAAGTGCCGAGTAGAGGTGAGAGTAAAAAGGAGAATACTCTGAATTAGATCTATTTATTAAGCAGTATCAACACTGTCAAAGGATGGTGCTTAAAATAGTTAAGTCAATAAAACAAGTCGAAAGTTGCGAGTAGACATACTCGCTGTAAGAGATAGAAAGTGATAAGGGGTAAAGTTTATATTAGAGCTGAGCTAATCAGCACGAAGGCTGTCATATGTAACGAGTAAAGAATAACGAATAACGATGAAAGAGTAACGAGTAAGGAATAACGAGTAACGATCAATGGGTAACGATTAAGGAGTAGCGAGCAACGACTAACGAGTAGTGAGTAACGACTAACAAGTAACGAACAACGAGTAACGATTAACGACTAACGAGTAGCGAGTAACGACTAACGAGTAACGATTAACGATTAACGACTAACAAGTAACGAATAACGATGAAAGCGTAATGAGTAACGAATAACGAGTAGCGATTATTGAGTAACGATTAGGGAGAAACGAATAACGACTAACGAGTAACGAATAACGTGTAACGATTAACGAATAACGAGTAACGATTAACGAATAACGAGTGACGAATAACGAGTAACGATTAAGGAGTAAAGAAAAACGAGTGACGAGTAACGATTCACGATTAAGAAGTTCCGAGTAATGATTAACGACTAACGAGTAACAAGTGACGATTCAAGATTTTCGATTAACAATTAACGAATATCCATTGAGAAGTAACGAGTAACACATACTTAACATACCGTGTAGCGAGTAGAGCTACCCTCTTTAGAGACCCTCTCTAGGGGCAAGCGCAGACTTTTAAGTCTACTTACTATTCCAACCAACAGCCTTTGGCCTGGTCAAAAGCGGCGAGTGCAAAAAGCAACGAGTAGTCCTACTCGCTGCAGCTGGTGCTAATTACATGCTGTCATTGCCATTGTTTTTGCACGGCGAAAGTGCAAATGGGCATCGCTTTCATTATTCAGCGAAATTGCAGACCTGACCCCGAGACACACCTTGAGCGGGCGTAAAGGTGTGTCCGGCTAATAGGCGTGAGTGTGCGAGTGTGTGTGTGTGTGTGTGTGTGTGTGTGCGTGCTTTGGCCAGTTAAAGTTCAAGCGTTCAAGGTGAATGCAAGTGCCTTGACTCACGCTCCCCCGCCGACCTGTGAGCTATGAGTGCGGCGAGTGGAGAGCTATCAGCAAATGCAATCATCATTATACAATCTATACATTGCCCTAATCATAATGCCATGCATGTCTTCTATATCTTCCAGGCGCTTGTGATCGATGCCTTAAGCATATTCTTTGATATAGTCAGCATTATCATTAGTTTCGACTTTATGAGTAAGTAGCACTAGTCCGGCTAGACTCTGCCATGCACTACACCCATTACATGAACTATATACATATAATATGTGTGTATATATATATTCATCTGATCTTTCTAGATGGCTGGGCCGTTGCATTTACCATTATCAATCTCATCTTGCGTCCGCTGAGCGTCATCCTGCTCTATCGGGAGTTCAATACGCGCGGCGGCAGTCTGCAGAGCGGCTCCGTCTTTCCGACCAATCAGCAGCGCAGCTACCAGGACATAGACCGTCCCACGCAGCCGACACCGACCAACTCGCAGCCGGGACCCAATGTGGCAAGCATTTTCTAAGCTGGAGTCAAGCTTCCGAGGCCCCACAGCAAGCTGAAAGCGAAAACTAATAAGCCCCATTCATATACTCCTAACCGGCAACCGAGAATGCACGAGTATATTCTATTAAAATTATTATTAAAAAAAAAAAACAATAAATGAATATATATATATTTTTTTTTTGTTATGTCCTAGCTTTAAGAGAGTTACTAAAGAAAGCCGATATGTAGAAATGTATGTAGTCTAGCCAGATACATTTTGTTCTCTATCTCTCTCACTTCAGCTATAAACTTGAAAGACAAATTGTAACGATTAACCTATATGTATATGTATTATATATATCTATATATGTAGTAACGCTAACAACATCCAAATACAAGTGTATATAGATATATATGTATGTATATAACTATATCTATATATATATATATGTCTATCTCTATCTATATAATATTTAAACCAAAAATACAACAAAACAACGAAAAGGGTAAATTGATAAATAAAAACAACAAACAATTCGATTTATAGCATTTTATATCTAGTATATAAGAAAATTTGTGGCCTGACGCCTTCGTATACCTAAATAGTTTTTATTTGTTTAATAAATAATTGAAGTAGCGCCCAAAATATTGATATGTACAAGCCCGCAAAATAGACAAATAGTAAGGAGAGGCGGAGTGTAGGAGTAGGTCTAGTCGAGTGGGTCCGACTAATAGGTACCCTGAAAGCCATGCCATGTGTATCAAATAGGTCTATATATTCTCTAGAAATATCTAAAGTTATCGGTGAAGCTCTATCATAAGTGGAAACTAGAAGAGTTGAGTTATCGATTCGATTTAGTTATCGATTCCTCGCAACTGAAGAAAAGACGCAAGGACGGACGTAACAGACAGGGACAGACAGTGGGACAAACGGATAGACAGACTAAAGCTAAAGCTCGTCAAGCATATCTCACCCTCAATACACACTCGCTATGGCTGCAGGGTATAACAACAAGGAGACGACAGAGAACAAAAGAGGGCGAAGTCAAATATGAAAAACTTTTGCTAAAGTTCCGCCTAGAAACCCTCTTTGGCCGCACGGAACTTGTATTGATTGCTGCGTCCATCCAGGCAGGGCACCTGCACCAGGTTGAAGTAAATGGAGCCCATTAGCTGCGAGGCGGACGTGTTGGTCATCTTCAGGCACGAGAAGAGCATATCATCGCAAATGCAGTGAGATCTAATGAAATGAAGAGAGTGTTATACATAAATAGATCAGGGAATATGCTCGTTAGAGGCCGTCACTCACTTTGTGTAGAGCGAGTCGTTCATGAGCTCGTATTTGTTTTGGTAGGCGCGTATCTTGACGGGGCACAGATCGTGCTGGCGACAACAGCGGTCCATTTCCATCTCGCTGCCCAGATCGCTGTACGTTTCGGCAATGTCGCCAGTGCCGCACCACTTGGTGCCTGCGAGAAAAATAATCGAGAGAATGAGTTAGAGTTAGAGCGAGTTAGCGAGTTGCTTAGGTAATATGAGTATAGCGAGTAAAACTCAGAGAAATTGGTGCTTGAACTAGCGAGAGAACATTCGAGTAAGGTTTTCTATCAAAGCTGAACTGACGAGTGACTGAACTAACGAGTAGCTAAAGTTTTCTAGAGCCACGAGAACTGACGAGCTAGATAGAAACGGAAACTAATTGACGAGTAGGCAAATTAACGAATTATTCAACTGAGAAAAACTAACGAGTGACTAAACTAACGAGTAGCTAAACTTTCTAGAGTCAAACTAACGACTAGCTAAGCTGACGAGTTAGATATGCTAACGAGTATTGAAACTAAAGGAAACTAAGCTAACGAGTAGACGCATTGACGAGTTATTCAACTGAGTAAAACTGACGAGTAGCTAAGCTAAGGAGTAGCTAAACAGAGCCGAGCAAAGCCGACGAGTTACTCAGAAGCTGCTAAGCTAACGAATCACTTAATCAACGAGTACCTAAACCAACGATAACCAAACTGACGAGTAGTTGAAGTGACGAGTGACTGAACTAACGAAAAGCTAAACATTCTAGAGTCAAATTGATGAGTTAGATATGCTAATGAGCAAACTGACGAGTAGGCAAATTGGTGAATTATTCAACTGAGCAAAACTGACGAGTAGCTGAGCTAACGAGTAGCTAAATAAAGCAGCGTAAAGCCAACAAGTAACTCAAAAAGCAACTAGGTCAACGATTTACATAGTGAATGAGTATCTTAACTAACGAGAAACAAGAACACAAATGATTTACGTAATCGACGAGTAACTAAACTAACGAGAACCAAACTGACGAGTGACTTAAATGAGAAGAAACTAGATTTACCAGCATCTTTAGTCGATAATATAAGCAAAGTATTGTAGAACCAGATGGAAATTAGTATAGATCTATAAGTAACGAGTGTGTTAACTAGCAACGAGTAGTAAAATCAACGAGTTACTAACTCGACGAGAAACAAACACCTTTATAAGGTGATGACCAAAGCCTGGTTCGCCAGTTATATCAGTAGGTCATCCACTCGTTAGCTCATCGACTCGTTAGCTCATCCACTCGTTAGCTCATCCACTCGTTAGCTCAACAACTCGTTAGTTCGCAGCGCTTACCTGGTATGATGCCGCTTAGCAGCGAGAAGGGGCTGCGCGGAAAGATGTTCGCGGCCAGCTTGAGCGTGACGCCATCCTGACCCGCTGCACCACCGGCACTGCCATTGGCCGACGCGCTAGCACTCGACTCGCTGCCGCTGCTGCGCTCGGTGCCTTGGTCGCTGGACTTGTACTTGAGCCTGGAGGCGTAGCTCAACTTGTCGACGTGCTCGCACTGATCCATCAGCTTGAGCATCTCCTCGAACTTGATCTCCAGCGGTCGATTGTACTGGGCGAGGCCATCGAGCAGCATCTTGCCCTCCTTCTCGTTGCTGCAAGAGACGAGCAGAGGTGAGCGACGAGTGCCGTCTCTCTCTCTCGTTGTAGAGCTCTACTTACTAGATCTCGATCAGCTCGCAGCCGAGCAGCAGCTTCTGTGGGCCCAGCTCAGTGACGGCTATGGTCAGATCGTGATAGTATATCATAATCAGCGAATCGTTGCTAACGCGCTTTCCACTGCACGGGAGAGACAGAGAGAGGGAGAGTGAGGGAGTGTGAGCGGGCCAGCCCCGACGGGCATTACAATTATGGCCGAGGACGTGACTAGTGTTGAGTGAAACGCCTATCGACGCGACACGCTCTCGGATTACTAATGAATCCACTCACCTGTACGTCTTCATTTGACGCAAGCTGCGCTGCTCGATGATCTGCTGGGTGAACGACTGAAACGAGGGGAATCCCTGCAGGCCGTGCGGCAGGCTAAACGACAGCGTTGGCTTCGCCAAGGCCACCGAGGAGCCCAGATAGCCCAGCAGCGCGCTAAACAGCAGCGTGCCAAGCAGCTGCAACTTGATGTGCTGACGCATTTCCTCAGTTACGCCCAATAGCTCTCTCTCTCTCTCTCTCTCTATATATATAGATATATGTTAGCTGTTGATGTGATTCGTTTGATTGACCAGTTAAGATCGTCGCCTGTCCAGCTATGCCACCGGCATAGTCTTCCGCCTCAAATGGATTCGCTGTCGCCTGCTCGAAGCAAAACAAAGATTCACTATTCTAGCAATCGCTTGGGGCTGATGGCTGGCTGGCTTGTTGGCTTGCTAGCTAGCTTGACTGGCGCTTGGCTGGGACCGGCTCTAACTGTTTGGGCCGCGGCCGGCTGTCGCTCATGTTTATTGTAGCATATTTTATTAATTTCGTCAAAGTTCTGGAGGCCTGGCCCACTCAGCGCCAAGCGCACAGCGCACAGCTGAGCGGGTTCACAGCGCCTCCTGCTGGCCGTCAGCTGGCAGCCGGACGAGCCCTCGTGTCTACCCTTTCGCGCTCACGTGTGTCGCAACGCCCAGCCCATGTGGCAACGTGGCATTGGCCAAGTGGACGCCTTGGGCCTTTCCTTCGTTGCCTTGCCTTCCCAATGCTCCCCCATTCCTGCCCATCCTAAGGCCGAATCTATTTGCATTGCGATTGCGTGTTGTTGCCGTTTCAATGACTCTGCCCAAGGAGACGCACACTAGACGCTCTAGCGACACACACGCATACGCACACGCTGGCAGATACACACATATTCTCTAGAGATAGTGACACTAGAGATACTCTGCTTTAGACTCTCTATAGGGACACACATCTACATACACTCACACATGCAGTCTGGAGGTGAAGAGACGTACACTTCACACACATACACACACGCACACTCACACCTGTACACACACCTGTACACACACACATGCACTGCAGACACATGCACACATACCCTATGGATACTAAATTCTAGACTCTCTAGAGACACGCACCTACAATTACAATCACATACACACACACACACATACACACACCTACACACACACACACACACACACACACACTTGCACCTACACACACACACATACACCTATTCACACACACACCTATACACACACACACCAACATCTACATCCACTTGCATTAATGGTCATACGCTGCGTATACGTAATGCTGCACATTAAATATAATTGCGTATACGCGACGTAATGCAACTAAATATTTACGCTACGCCAATTTATTCCAATTTGACATATTATATTATAAGTGTTCAGGCATGACCATATGAATATATGAAGATTGTATACATGCCTCCGATAAGGGTCACATATACGGACCGTATAAATAGACAATTGAAGACCAACCCTTGCAACGCCAGAGTCATATTACGTAAGAGACGAGCGCTAAGCCCTACGAACTCAACGTTAGGATAGTAGCTAATATAGTATAATATAATAGAATATAATAGCCCAATGCCCAGAGCCTTACGCACTCAGCAATAGTTACATTAGATTTAAGGGTTGAAAATATGCAGGAGTCTGGGTATATAAGACCAGGCTCAGAAGAATAAAGATCAATACAAAACAAGTAAGATTTTTAGTGATAAACTTGATATGCGCGTGATATACACGGACCTAGGAAACAAAATTTCAAGTCTCTAGCTCTTATA